ATGAACTATGGCATTGCTGGATTTGGCCATATAGGCATAGATTCACTGAGTTTGATAAGCAACAGTGCCCTTACTTTTATTTTTTGCAGATTGTCTTTTTATAGCTGCTGGTGTTGGCTTGTAAGTTCTTTATAGTCATTACCTTAATTTCCCTTGTCTTTGTAGAGCTCTATTCAGAGAATTTACTTCTAAGATACAACAGTCAAAAATATCGGGCAAATCCTACCAACATGGACTTCTTTGAGTTTTCATACTATCTAAAAGTGACAAATGACTCTCACTTCACCTTGCACATAGTCATTCTGAAGAGTGTCAAACCATAAGTAGTTTGCCATAATTTGCAATGTAGAAATGCTATTTGCATGATGAAATTGCACAATTAGGAATTTCTTTAAGCAAACAACTCTTTTGTTAAAGGAAATCAAAAGTATCTTCTTTCCAATTTGTAAAATAGTGGCCAGAATTAGCTGTAAAATTGTTTTCAGTATTCTCTGTATATTTATATTTTGCTATCTGCCAAATTTGTTAGCACCGCAAGGAGAATGATTATGTGAAAATATTTGATGGTTGCAAAAGATCTGTTACATATGAAATCTCAAGTTCACTAGGGATAAAAGAGCCTTTGTATGTAATAAAATTCAAGTCACATTGTTGGTTACGTGTATAATGACCTTGAGTACTTTATGGTTCCATGATGCAGTGTTTTCTACTACTACTACTACTACTACTAGTACTACTACTCTTAGATACTCATTGTTCTTGCAGGAAAAATACTAAATATGCACATTTCTGTTTTATTTGTTTTGTCTTAAATTATACAAAGGTGTATATTTTAGTGTGTTTATCATAACCATTCTTTTCCTCTGATAGAAGGTATCCCAAATGAAAAGAGAGACCACAACACTTTCATAAGATGGATCCATCAGAGAATAACACACCAGGTTCTCATGATGAAGAAACGCAAGGAGAAGTAAGTGGAGTCTTTGGAAGTTTTGAACAGTAATATAGAATACTGCTATTAGAATGATTTGGATTTCAATAATGTTTGGAAGATAAAATTTTCCTTATTATGGTTATATTTGTAAAGTGATTTGGAATACAGAATATGAATATTATTCTATGAAAAAAAAAAAATAATTGTAACTTAAACTTTACAGCACAAAGAAACTCAAAGTCAGTCTAATCAAGAAGAAGAGAATGAAACTGTACCTCTGATTGAGTCTGGCGCTCAGGCTGATGCTGAACCGAAAGTGATTACGGAAAATGCTGTAAGAGTAGCTTTTCTACCGCCAGCAGAGGAGGCAGATCTTCCAATATCAGAGTCACTGGTGCATGGTGATGCATCGTACAGTGCTGATGATAATTCTTCTTACAGTGACAATGAGGCAGATATAGATCAAGATATTGATGATGCTCTAGATGAAGGGTGAATTTTTGTTTGTATTATGTTTATATTTGATATATTTAAAATGATATATATTTTGATAATGGTTTGTATGTTGCATATGTTTGATAATTAAAATCTTTTCTTTGTTTTCTCATTTCATTTGTATGTAGATCTCTATTTTTAGAGCATGGATGCCAAGATGTAACTGTGAGCATAACTATATTCCAGATACATGGGTATGGAATGCACTTTAGAGCGTGGATTTTCACTTAATGAAGCTGCCATTGCCCGTGATCTTCGATATGAGCGGTATGATGAAGTTGCAGTGAAATACGAGAGAAGTCATTCTTTTTCGAAATACCAGCCTTCGTTGAAGCATTTTATACCAGTCAGAAAATCTTCAGCGTAAGTTGGTTTTAGACTGCAATTCATTAAAATGAACTTATATGAAAAATAGTGAAGATAAAGATGAAAGTTGTTTATCATTAGTATTTAAATCTAGAGGTAAAAACTAGAACTTTTTATATATATATACATATTTTGTATAATAGTTTATTGGCATTTGTTTCCTTGCTACAAAATGTTTAATTAATTTGTGAATACTGATTTGGAAAATGATATAATGTGGGGAGTTACTGTTATCTAAGACAACTAACTTATTGCTTTATTCCAGGGAAAAAGATGAAATGCCTCTAGACTCAACTGGTCTGTATGGCTTTGTCTCGTACTCCTGGATCACTAGTCTCATGTGGAAAGCATACAAGAAAGGATTGAAAGAGGAGGATGTCCCCATCTGCTCAAAGTATGACATGTGTGACTACAATACGGACAGGTAATTTACTCATTTTATTTTATGTGTTTTACTTGATTTAGATTTTGTATATGGTGTCCCATTATTATTTTTTATGTTAAGATTTTTTTTTTTTTTTTTTTTTTTTTTTTCGTCCTGAACTTGAATTTATGATATTGATGTCAATGGATTAATTTTGATTTTACTTTTTACTTTATTTTTATTTTTGATATTTTTTAAGGCTTGTTTGCTGTGATTCATATTTTTGTATAGTATTTTCTTTAAGATTCCTTCCAGCTGATCATTTTTTTTCTTTCTAAATCTGTAGATGTACATGCTTTTTAGCTCATTATATTTATTATTCTGCAATTGATCACGTTTATTTGATTTTTATCTTACAATCTTAATTTTCCAAGCTGATCCATTCTCTTTTTTATTTCATTTGTTGTTTTCATCACCCTGTTTGTGATCATTTCCTAACCTTTTTCCCAACCAAAGAACATTGTATTCCACATTTTGCTTTAGATCTAGTGTTTTATCCTTCCCACCTTGGTATATGATTTTTAGAAACATTGGCCTTATGGCATCCTTTAGTTTCCAGACTGAATTAGATGTTTATTAAATTAAGGATAATTAGGCTTTGAAGATATTTTGAATAGGCTTTGTATTCTCAGTCTCCTTTTGTATCCATCTACTTGTCCAAGTAACATTGTTACTAGAATCTCTTGTGGATATAATCAAACTGAATAGGTCTCTCTTGGATGTACCCCTGCATCAGCCTGTCTCTTTTGGTTTTCCTACTTTTACTTATTGCCTTTTTGGTTTAATTCTCATGGTGGATTGACTAGGGCATGTTGTTTTGGAATGTACTATTTAAATTTCTTTTCTGGACTATATCTCTTTTGAAAAGCTATTAAGAGTGAGTCAGTTAACCCTATGCTTCTTAAGCCCTTGAATCTGGTTGCTTCACAGCAATCACATGGTCCAAAATTCAGACATTATGCTTATGTGAGCAGCTGCTCTGCCAGGTGCGTGGCTTGTAGGCCAGGCACATGTGAACATTATGCCTCCCCTCTGCAATGTTATTTTCTCTTTTTATGCATGAGTATATTTAGTTCTTTTGACATTTGATTTGTTTTCTTTGCAAAGACTACATATTATCTCTCTAGGTAGTCTACAACTCAATGCAAGAAAAGTATTGAACATTTTCTTATTTATGTGTGTGTGTGTGTGTGTGTGTGTGTGTAATATTCAATTTTATGTAACACAACCTGCACTAGTATTGTGCCATCCTATGATGTCATATTCATGTCACCAACCACTCAACTTTTTTTCTTTCTTTCTTTCTTTTTTTCTTTTTTCTCTCTCTCTCTCTCTCTCTCTCTCTCTCTCTCTCTCTCTCTCTCTCTCTCTCTCTCTCTCTCTCTCTCTCTCTCTCTCTCTCTCTCTTCTCTCTCTCTTTCTTTCTTTCTTTCTTTCTTTCTTTCTCTCTCTCTCATTGAAAAATTCCAATGTTTTAACTATTGTTGTTCTTATGTAATGTTATTTGTTATTATTTGTTATTATTATTATTAATTATTTGAAGTATTTTTGTTATTATTATTTATATTATCAGGCCTATTACTATTGTTATTCTTCTTCTTTTTCTTCATCTTCTTGCTTTTATCATCATTATCCCCTTCGTCATGTAGAGATTTGTGCATTAAAAGTTCTCCTTTGATCCATAGGTTTGAAGCCATGTGGAATGAGGAGGTCAAGAGGAAAGGCAAGGAGGGGGCCTCACTCCAGCGGGTTGTGTGGCGGTTTCTAAGGACACGTCTCATTATGGCCCTCACGTTTTTCATGATTACCCTCATCATGGGTTTTGTGGGACCGGTGAGGGATTTTTCATTTCTTGGCTTCTTGCTCTTTTGATGCTTGTTCTTGTTCTTGTTCTTTTCTTTTATTCTTTTCTTCTTCTTCTTCTTCTTCTTCTTCCTCTTCTTCTTCTTCTTCTTCTTCTTCTTCTTCTTCTTCTTTTTTTAGATGACTGGATCAATTTTATATTATATTGCAGCCAATTTTCTCTGTGAACTAAGAAAATTATTTAAAAAGTAGGATTATATTTTCATACTCATGAAAGTTGAAATAGAATTAAAGCTTGGGAATAATTAAAATATCATATTATATTATCATTCTTTAGCAACTCGACTTGATAACAAAACTGCTCATTACTTTTAATTATTTAAAAATGATGAACACACAATTTATAGATTTCATTTTATTTCAGACAATCTTTATGCGGTTTCTCATCACTTGGTTGTCTACTGATGAACCAGTAACCACTGGCATGATATGGACAGCTGGGCTTATATTTAGCGAGTTTATTCGCATTATTATTTTTGGTGTTGTTTGGTCTATAAGCTACAGGTAAGATTTTTTTTCATTTTCTTTTGATGGTGTGCAGTGCAAAGTGTTCACTTCTTTTTTTGTTTTATTTGCTGAATTTCTGTTTTGGTAGGACTCTAAAAACATTGCAATTTTAGGATGACCAAGACATTTTTTTCATTCAGAATTGTCTTCATTTCTGTATGAAATGTAATTCAAAAAATATATTGCTTAAACCCTAAAATCCAGATGGCATGACCATCACATCATATAAAAATTTGGCTTGAGGGGCAAATGACGTGAACATGCTCTCATGGGAAAATTTCTATGCGCTTCAGCCAAAATGCTCATGTACAAAATGTCAAAGTGCTTTTGCATAAAAAGAGAAAAGAACATTGCAAAGGGGTCAATGAGTGTTCACGTGCGCCTAGCCGACAAGCCATTCACTTGTCAGAGTGGCCTCTCACATAAGCCTGATATCCATATTTTGGGCCATGTGATGACAGTGAAGCATCTGGATCCAATGGGTTAATTTTAACCCATTGGATCTGGTTGAATCACGGCAATCACACCACCAAAAATCCAGGCATTATGCTTATTTGAGTGGCCACTCTGCCAGGTGGCGGCTTGTTGGCTGGTGCACACAAACACATGTGTGCAGTGACTAGACTCCTATTTGCGAAATTATTTACTCATTTTAGGCAGAAACATTTTAAACATTTTTGCCATTTTCCAGTGTCCATATTTGCAATTTGATTTGCTTTATCCAGATGGTATTAGACCATATTGTCTCTTTAGTTAGTCTACTATTATTTGTGTAATTTGATATCTACTTTTAATGGTCAATTTGAGCTGACTGAATTGAGCATAGCTGCTGAGGCAAATCCTTTCAGCCATACAACCCACTAAACCCAGTCACATTCCTCCATTGTATCCCTTTTATTTCCATTTTACCTTTTTTTTATAGAGTTTATTGTTCCAAAGGTAGAAGAGAATGGATAACTTAACAGTACAATAGAAGTTCATAATTACATACTGATTGCAGCCATAAGTACTTTTGGTGTGACTCTTTTAGTCATCCCAACAGCTTCCAACATTTTAAAGTGAAATTAGATTTGAGGAAGTACATATGTATTTAAATCAAGTAGAAATACATGTGTATTAACCATTTTGTCTAGAAATCTTATTAAGGTGCTTAGTCTTTCCTAAAATTTGAAGTCATATATGATGTAAATGATTTTTGATTGATATTGAGGATGTAGATGTACAGAAACAAAATTTGATGAATAGATACTTATTTTTTTCTGCAGGACGGGGGTTCGACTGAGAGCTGCATGCCTTGGCTTAGTCTACAAGAAGCTTATGAGAATGTCCAGTTTAGGGAATAAAAGTATTGGAGAAGTGAGTAGAAAATGATAATATTGAGTTTGTTAGAATTAGATATATACCATTTAGTTAACACTTTTTTGTAAATGTCAAGTGTGTAGATGAGTAAGGTTATTTTGTAGCCATATCTTTAACCCAATTGTGCCGAGTAATCTGCTGTCATTTTCATTTGTGAAATTTGTTTGTTGCACATGAATTTGTAAGTCTGTGTCAGAATTTTGTTTTTTTCTCTAATGCTATTGACATTGACATGGTTATCATTGCTATTGATATTATAATTATTACATTGTTATTAACAATATTAATAGCCCCCCCCCAAAAAAAAAAAAAAAAAAAAAAAAAAAAAAAAAAAAAAAGATCTTTCCAAAAATCAAGTGAAAGGTAAAAGTTGACCCAGGTGGGAATAGTTACTGCCTCCTTGGTAGTTAAGTACTTGTAGAACCATCTATGTGTATAGACAATCAGGAAACAGAATGACAGTAGACATGGCACATATTTTTGCCTTCCTGTCCATGTTGGGTTAATAGCATTAGAATTTTATACAACTTGCCTTGACCAATGAGTTATTATTTTATCCAAAACTCAAACACACTAGCCTTGCATATACATGTACAGACTAAATTAACACCATATATAAAGTGAGCAATAACATCCAGGGTGACAGTATTACAGATCATGTAGAACTTTTAGATGTCTCCATCCTCTACAATGCACTTCTGAAAGGTCCATTGGACATCTGGCATGAGTATTGGCATTCCCAGGCCATTGGTTGTGGCTAACTTGTGACTCCAGAGCTCCTTTTGCCAGGACTCAACTCTCAGGTACACTCAGGCTTTTCAGGTACAAGCAGAGTTCCCCTCACTGCACATCCTTGGTCTGGGATAATCCAGGCCACTAAGCTAGGCTAGTCATTTTATGTTTTTATGTGAGATGACTCCTTTTATTTGAGCTGAACTAGCCTGGGACTTTCAAGCATCTTTGCATACAGTGTCCTATTGGGCTGCCTATAGCTTCTCTACCCTCACTGTCAAAATGTTTTTCTCCCTTCTCTGAGACAACCCATTGAACCTTTTCACTCCAAAGATGCCTCCTTTGGAAAAGGCAGTACCTCTTCTCCTGCTCATAGCACAAAAGACATGAAGTGTATGACTGCCTTGTGACTTTGAAACTCCTGAATTTATGAGGATCTTCCTTCATCTGATTTATACATCTCTACTTTCAGAGAAAGTCTCTGTTGTTCATGTTTCTATGTACTTCATTGATCACTATTCTTTTTCACTCTTCTTTAATCTAGTCTAACATTAATGATGGCCAAAAATTCATACATTTTAGGTGAAAAGTAACATTTGCTAGGACAAGTCATTGCAAAACATCATAAATATTTCTAGGGAATGCTAAAATTCTCTATATTGCATTCTTTATGTATTGTCTGAACACTTGGCTGACTCTTCAGACAAAATGTTTCATCTTCTTGAATAATTCATGCCTTTTGAGGAATTTATATTAACCCATAGCTGATGGGCATGGTATATACATGCATGCCATGCCTAGTATGAGTTTACTTTATTAATTATTTTTACACATAGATGGCTACACTTGTACTAAGTCACCAATGAGCCAATTATGAGTACTGCCTGTGCACCCTTTTCCTTGATTTTTTAAAATATTTTATGTTATCTTATATTACCGTTACTAATGCCAATGACATTATAGTAACTATAATGTCTATTATAAAAAAAATAATACCAATATTCATAGCATTGATAAAAAAAAAAAAAAAAAATCCCATTAATTAAAGGAAAGGTGAGATCAGGTAAGGTCATAAGGTCTATTAATTGACTCCTTTGAGGCTAAGCACTTGCTGAGTCATCTGTATGTAGAGACATTTCACAAAAAAATCTAAAAATGAGCACAGCATTTTCATGGCAACATTGAGTTAATGTTAACTTTTTTTTTTGTAGGTGATAAATCTGTTTGCTAATGACGCCCAGCGTATATATGACTTTGTTGTGTTGGGTCCTCTTATAATTGGAGGACCTGTCGTGGCCATTGGAGGGGTCATTTACATCTTGTGGCTGTTAGGACCCTGGGCATTGTTTGGCATGTTGACCTTCCTGCTCTTCTACCCATTTCAGGTAAGATTTTATATTAGATTTAGCCAAATAAGTAATAATCTTTTTCTTTGGTAGTAGCTAAAGTCATGATCAGTGATAATTGTATTATTGAGTTATAGCAGCAGGTTGTTTTGCCTCTTCATTATTTGAAATACTAATGATCATGAAGAGATGTAAATGAAACAGAGCAATACCTATTTTATTTAAATCATGATACTGTTTCAGATATATATATTTTTTAAGGATTATTAAATATTATTACTGCTTACCACTATGGCTAGACTCTTCCCATACACACACATGCACAGGCACACAAACACACACACACACACACACACACACACACACACACACACACACACACACACACACACACATGCACAGGCACACACACACACACACACACACACACACAGAATATATATATATATATATATATACACTATCTTTTTAGTAACAGTATCTCATTTGTTCTAGTATGGCATCTCTCGTTTGACTGGGTACCTACGCCGCCGCACAGTAACAGTCACTGATGAGCGAGTACGGATGATGAATGAATTGTTGACATGTGTCAAGCTTATCAAAATGTATGCATGGGAGAAAAGTTTTACTTCAAGTATTACAGGTAAGACTATCCTAATTTTCTTTTGATTACTTGAAGCTTTAGGACTTGCAAATTATTCTCAGAGATCAGCATGGTATATCTGAAAGAGGCATTCTAAGCTGATTCAGTAGATTTGTTTCATATGGTTATTTTTCAACTCCTTAGGTTTGATCTTAGGGCTAACAGTAAATCAGATATTTTCTTTCTTTTGTCCCAATGTGCATTTCAAGAATGTGACTTGAACTGCAAGGAATATTTCTCAGCTGATGAGAATTTAGGTTTAATTTGATGAAACTGTTTGAGTGTTTGAATATTTTCTTTTGTGATGATATGTTTTTATGTTTTGATCAATAATGTCTTGAAAATATTTTCCCCATTTACAGTTTCTGTCAAACTTACCAATCTCTGAATAGTCTTAGCTTAGAATGTCAGGAAAGACTGGTTTTAATCATGTTATTTTTTAGTAATACATACTGATTTGCTGTTGTAAATGGTAAATGTAATTGTTGATGCAACTGCACCTGCAATGATAGTATTATTATTTGAATAACAATAAGGCAAATAAAGGCTTTGGTGCTGCTTTTTGGCGCTTAAATTTAAAATAACATTTAAGATGTATGCAAAAATAGTTGCAATATTTTAATATGCATTTACTCAAGAAAATATAGTCTGAATTGCTGTGAATGTTGCATTTCTACAAATTTATTTATTATATTATGAAATTAATTTGTGTCAAAATTTAATAAACTTTCAATAGACACAGTAGTTATACCTTAATGAGAACAATTCCTTTAGAGATAAGAAAACGTGAGAGACATCTACTGGAAAAGTCGGCCTATGTTCAGAGCATCAGTTTGGCCATGGCTCCCACAGTGCCCGTGATTGCAGCCATTGTTACCTTCCTGGCTCACATTGGTGCTGGATATAACCTTACAGCTGCACAGGTAATTTGCATGAGAATAGTTTCATTGTTGTGACATCTTTTTTGGAAATTTTTAATGAGAATGTTATAGAATTTGAGGAAGAATTATGACATATGTTTTTCTCTTGATAACTAAAGTAGGTATTGTTGTATGTAATATACTGTAATATGAGGGTAAATTGAGTAAATGTAAAGACAGGTCTCTGTTTACAGAGGATACAGTTTTAGAGATACTTTTTAAATTAAAGAGTTTACTTACAGAAAAAAAAAACACTTCTGAGCCAAGAAGCAAAGTATATATGTGTATGAACAGTTCTTTCTGTATTATATATGTTTCTATTTGTAAGCATGTTGTGTTTATATGCAGTGATCTGATCTGAAACAGATATTGAAAAGAAAGAAAAATTTGATGAATGTCTCACCTCTTTTA